TGCGCACGCACCTACTTATAAAATCATGATTTCAAGTTATCGTACAAACTCTTAAGATTATAGATTTTTTTTCTTCTGGTCATTTAATGTACTTTATTACATAAGCACAACAATCTCGAATTAAAACTCAGTTAGCCAATAATGACTTGTAAAACATGATCATAGTTGCAAGATAACGATATTGGATCATGTGATATAAATATGAAATTTGTTCTGCAGAAACAAATGGTTGGCTGAAACGAGCCACATGACCAATATATTTTAAATATCGGGCATGTGCAGAAAAGGAAGCAGATCATCGACTGTTTAGTATAACTCATACAAAAAGAAGGCATCCAATCAAAATCGAGATTTTGTGGATGCACGCAAAACTCGAATTGAACCATACATTCCGTTCCACTACGTTCCTGGTACAATTATCCACCGCCTATAATTGAATGCATTAACACAGTTGCACAGACTCACGGCTTTCATGAAAATCAAAAATCCGTCCAAATTAATAGATGCAAAAAGAATTCAATCATTCCTAATGTCGTAAAAAGAATTCCTCATGGATTACACGCAAATAAATTAACGCACGCACAAGAAAAGTACACCAAACATCGGTAAAATCACCCAAAGTGTAATAAAGCAGTATTAACCGTATTTAAACCCGAACCTATTATACAATATACGACCAATAAACCAAAGCTTAAATTTCAAAGGTTAAACTCAAAATTATCATTATCAATTCAATTATTTAAAATCAGTTCTCATATTATAATGGAGTCCACACCTATTTAGTTTGGAACAATTTACAATGAGCGTTAGAAAGCAATAGTCTAATAAAATCATTTATAATACCCTTAATTAACATCATAATTTAGCATCATCCGACAAATGGCTGTGTATCTCGCCCGTAGCCAAGCGTGCCAATTCTGAGAGTTTTCCTACTTAGTAGACATCATACCCTCTCTAAAACCATTAACGATATCTGTGTCGATATTTCATTAATAAATCATCAAATTATTCAAGTGTACTTTAAAGCATACAAACAAGATATCATGGCAATCGACCTTCAAAGGCCAATCCGAAGAACCCCACCCTATGAGTTCATCACACCCATTCAAGCATATATATTCATGTACATACATATACATACATATACACGTTCTACAGTATAATTCTATAATTCTATAATAGTTTCACATGTCTGACTTCCATCCAATCATAACCCGGAATTTGTTCACAAACCATTCTAGTTGTCGGTTAACCATACACTCCGTAATTTCATTACTACGTTCCTGGTATAATAATCATTTAATAAAGTTTAAGCTCTGGCAGTATTAGCCAGATGCATCCAATTGAAATCATATCACGTGCGGACAATGCTTTTCGATGAAATTTGATGATCACAGTAATTTGAAATCACGATAATGCTTTCGCTTCACTTTATAACATATTCTTTGAATCCCCATGAATTCCACAACTTTTTTGCTGTAATCTGATTTACCGATTTACTTTGATTGTTGCTAATCACGTGTAACTATAACAATTTGAACGGTGCTCTTGTTAGCTGATACAGGATCTAAATTCTCTAAAATGTATTTATTTTCATTATGATTTCATATGATTTAAAGACCGTATTTTAGATAGCATGGTTAAAAATCCTATGATTGGCTAATTTAAACAATACAAAAGTGATTGACAAATATATTAAATAGTATTATATAAAATGAAAACAACTTGACGTATATAAAACTTGTATAACTTTTTCTTATAATCTAAATAAAAATATTACAAATCAGTCAATTTTTTACTTTATTTTATAGATCTGAAAATAGTTTTTTAAGATCTTTTAAAGGAGAAAACTTTACTTATACACAAATGCCATGGGGTCATGTTCGAGAAAATCTTGGTCCATGTGCTATATGTAGTACTCAAAAAGACGATCAAATATATAAAAAATTAACAAATTGGGCTGTAGAAAAAGCTAATCAAAGTCCTAATAATTCTTTTTTACAATTTATATTTAAAGAAAATGACCAGTTATGTATAAAGCATTATAACGAATTTGTGATTCATGACAGAAATAATAGAAAATCAAAAAGAAAAAAGAAAAATCAAGATTCGTCATATCATAATACTACACCAAGAAAAAAAATATGCGTTGAATTAAATGAATATGAAGAACTTTTAAATATTTCTAAAGAAATAAATATTTTAAAAGAACAAATTAGTATTTTAAATACTGAAAAAGATGAATCAAGTAAATTTTTATTAAATTATTTATATTCGTATATGTAACAAAATTAATTTAAAATTATTATAAATTTTTTACAGATTTTGAAAAACGCATAGAAAATATGACAACAATACTTTATCAATATCAAAAAAAAGAATATCAAACTCATTTTAATATTAATGAGTTTGTTGAATTAATTAATAATCATGATCCTGAATTTCAAATTTTTTTTAATACATTATATTCTGCAATAAATCCTAAAAGCAAAAATAAACAAAATTGTCAAATATTAAAAAAAAAAATTGTAATGATATGCTATCAATTAGCATCATTAAGAAATAAGCAAATATGCAATACTAAAAAATCAATTGGGCTATTTCTAGTTAGTTGCGGTGTATCTGTTATAGGAATAAATACTTTAGCAAATATGAGAATTTGTTCGACATATCAGACAGTTTATAATGAATCAGAAAAGTTAACTAAAAATCATCAGTTAAATGTACAAGAATATATTCAAGCCAATTTAAAAAATTTAGTAATTGGATGTATTGACAATTACCATAATCTTCATGGAACTCGAATACTGAATGTAACATTAATATTACAAATTGCACATATGGCTACTATATTATTTAATTCATGTGAAGTTGATCTGATTCCTTTTTTTCAAATGATAATTTTCCAATACATAATATTAATGGAGTTGATTCAACTATTTTGAAAATGGCTTTATTTTAAGATCATATACAAGAATTATCAAAAAGTTATTATTTGATTAAACAAAATTGGATTCAAAATTTATTCAATGAAAATATATTAGAGTTATTAATAATATATTCATATGATGCAGATTTATATGGAAAATATGGACGTATTTTTAATAGAACTAAGTTAGTAGAATGTATTAAGACTAACTTAAAAAATACACAAGATTATTTAAAGGCAATTG